AGGCTCTATGATAGACTTATGATGAGGTAGCGTTGATAAGATGGGTGAAGGATGGTGACCACGCCTTTTATATGGAGTACTAATAAATAAGTCATAGTCCCGAGCTAATGAATAAGTGTGATCAAGAGTAGTGATATCCCGAAGGAAGTGTTCACGCTTTAGATCTTCTCTTAGGCCTTGACTAAACCTATTCAAAATCAAGGCTCATCCTCAATGACATGACATTTCATTCGAAATTCGTCAAATTGAGCAATGTACACAATTACTAGCTGATTCCCTTGTGTAAGGGTATTCCATTGAGTAAAAATTTCATGACCTAAGCAACCATCGAAAGTATGAGTATCTAATTTAATGTTTCTAAAGAAATGCTCCTTATGATGAGAAAGAGAATGAGTACTATGACGACCATGGCCTCGTTCTTGCTCACGAACCTAATCCCTATCTATACGATTGTGTTGAAAATATTTTTGATCACCTTGTCAATGACGATATTGACACTTTAGAATTATTAACATCAGTCGAATGAGGAATTTGCTTAAAATTGTTTAGATTAGTAGCTAGATCTCTGCTCTTTTCATAAGTAGCGGCCATCTCGATTTGGACAGCCGCTAATTGAGTTTGTAAATGTTGTTGGCTAATGGCAAGTTGAGTTAATTGTTTAATGAGTGCATCTAATTGGGATGGGTCCATGGTTAATTTACTAGAAAGAAAGGCGTTAAGATGACCAATACGCAATTGCAAGTAATATAATATCATCTAAATAACGTCCAATGATGAGATCAATGAACAATAAGTGCGAGCAATGGAAAATAACAACTTCAGCATTTTTTTTAAATCTCTCTCGCTCTCTTTTCTTTTCTTTTTTAATAAATTTCGAGATTAAGTAAATTCAAATATGGCAAGATAGTATTGCTGATTTATGTAAAATAACAAAGCACAAATCAAATACTAGTCAAAACTTAATCACGTAAAATTAGTGGGGGTAAAACGGGGCTTTGACGAAATCAAGGGATTCAGTCATGTAATTTTAGGTATATTATCAGAATAATAGCAACGCAAAAATTTAATCGATGCAATTTTAAAATGAAACAGAAAGTGTAGTAGCCTTGCTATTGTGGAAGTGGTTGACGAGAAGAGGTAGGTTCACCTGTGTTTTGCAGTGATTGGGTTCAATGTGGGAGATGGAGATGATAGGGGGCCGAAAGGGAGTTGGTCATGGTGTTGGAGATGGTGAGTGAATTTGGTCTAGATTGGGAAGTTGGGAATTGGGTTGGTTAGGGCTGGGCCTTGTGTTTTGGAGTTGGGCTGCGTGGGTTATGGGTTTGGGAGTAAGGACTGTGGGTATATATGGGTTGTTATAGGGTTTGGGTTAGCATGAGTTGGGTTGATTTTGTATGTAGGCCGATTCTATGTAGGGTTTGAGTGTTATGGATAAAATTTATGGAACAACACTGTTTATCTATCAGCAGCAGCAGCAGGCAATTTTATTTTTTTTACTCGAAATTTTTTTTTTCACACCTTTTAACTAAGGAAGAAACTGATACCACACCAAATTCTTTCTTTTGCGCTGCTTTAAGATTTTGGATAAACTGGTCAATGATTTGAAATCATGGACAGTGGGTGCGTGATTTTGTGAAAATGGTTGGAAGAATATCTAGAAAATAATTGAAGTTGATTTGATAGATTTAGATGAAGAAATATTACCCAAGTTTAGCTCTGGTATTAAATTTGATGTAGGATAAATAAAAAATAGCAAGAAAGAGGGGAGAGAACCAAAGAAAATGGAGGAGAAAATGGAGAAAGAGAGTTCAAGGAGAAGGCAAGGGAAAGAGAACAAGACAAAACCAATTTCAATTTCTCATAATCATCAAACTATTTTGTCATTCGAGTCACCAACATATAAATAGCACAAAAAATCTAATATTCACATGCTTCAGCCAAACCACTAGACAAGCCCAATAAAATAAAAAGACATCAATAAACAAAATATGATTGAGGTCTTGGTTGAAGAAGCATTTAGGCCTAAAGGCCGATACCCCCATTTCTTTTTGAAGCCATTTCAGGATTTTCTCCGGCTAGGCCATCTAGCTCTACATTGTAATACACCTTGAAAGCCAAAAAAATAAAAAGATCCTTCCTAGGGTTTATACAGTAAGGATAGATGTCTAAATACTCATCGATCTTGAATTTGAAATCATAACTCCATAAATGAAGTAAAGTCAAACTATTACAATAGTAAATGGGGCAATTGCGAATCAAAAAATCAATATGATTTGAAATCGTAATCCCTTTTTACAAATGCTTACGATTATCATTAGCTTAATAATACTCATGCTCTTAGATCTAAAAAGATACGAAAAATTATAAAGAACTTATATTGAGTAACAAATATGATTGTGAATGCTCAATTATAAATACATCACATGACACATGTTGGATACTAGTATATTGTATTTAAAAGTGTGGGAGGGGGGGCTGCTTGAACAACCCCTTAGACAACCAAGGGGTTATGTGGCATCCCCCTATTAGGAGAGTGTCTACTGCGGGCTTTATTCATGAAAATTAGTATAAAAAAAAATTTCATCTACTAGCGCCAATTAAAACATAATTCCACTGTTACTGTACTTTTTATTTTATTCCAAAAATACTATAACTAGTAGTAAAACGCTCTCTTTTTAGTGTTCAAGAAACACTCACTGATCCCTCGAATTACCAAACATATCCCATCCCTCAAGTTACCAAACATATCCCACAAATCATGTACTTTGAAATTTAATCATAGCCAAATAAATCTTCTATATTTGGCTGGCACAAGATTATACTGTAAAAACCCTAACCCCCTTCTTCTTCATCTCATTAGTTCTTCTCTGCTAGTCACCTTTGCAAATCATCTCAATCCCGATAATCTTGCATCCAAATGGACACTCCTAGAAATTGCTACTCTTGTGAGATTCTTATCAAGATTCACGTTGATCACTAGAACTTTAAAAGAGAGTGATCATAGCACAACCAACACAAAGAAGAAGAAAAAGAAACACCACTTTGATCCATAAGTTCTTGATTTATTTTTTTAAAGAATTTTTGTATTTTAAAAACTCGGTTTTTTTTATTGTTATTGATTAATAACCATTTTTAAAGGAATACACATTATTGAACCAAATTATTTGCCTTTTTTGTTCCTAAACACATTTTTGTAGTTATAGACCTCAAATTGTTAAAAAAAATAAAAATAAAAAATCCTTTATGCTCAATTACGGTAATAATTGAAGTGCAATTATATTTTCAATTGTAGGGTTGTGGAATGTTCATGATCTTGCAATTACTCTTTGCATGTTATAACTCAAAAGTAGAAAATTATAGCAATCAAAATAAAGCAAAATCTATCTAAAGCAATATCTTTCTTCGTAACATATAATGTCAAATATTTTATAAACCAAGTATCATTTGTAATATTTAATCATACGCATTTTATAACATGGTTTTAAAGTGAAAGAAACTTAATATGTAACATACAACACATTATGCCAATCTATGTAATGTGACATTGCACTTCATTTTTGATAAATAAGTTGCAACAAGTTAGAAGCCACCATATCACTGTTAAGAATTCGTAACAAGCCAATAATCTGAAAAAATGTACAATTTGGCTCATTACACATCAATAAACACATATGCAACACAACATGGTGTATATTGGATCTGAAATCTTAAAAGCTTAATGTTGTAACAAACTATGATATACATCACACGGATAACAATCATAACATTCATATATGACTAAATAGTAAAGAAAAGTTCCATGACAATCCATATTAAGTAGTTCAAATAGACCTAGAATTTCAAATGCTTGTATTAGTCATATATGCTAAAATGAAAATTCACAACGTGTTACAGAAATGTGATACGACTATCGTGAGATTTTTCACTAATTTGATTTACACTTATGCAGTCTAATCGTCAAATTTGAAATTTACTAACACGAATAATGAAAAAATAGACTTGTTAAATATTATGGCACAAAGTTTAAAAACAAAATAAAATATGAATAATTTCATCTTAAGATTCGAAAAAATAATTGTAAATTGTTTACTGGTTGCAATTGTTTTGATTCATTGGGGGTTTAAATGTAGAACCGTGCTAGCCTTACAGAACCAGATTGTTGCCAGGCACATACATTCGTGGGGCTCGCGTAATTTTTTTTAAGGTATGTTGGGCCTTGCACAGTGAAGGGCCCTGTAAGTAACCTGTGAAAAATGCCCTGTACATTGGGCATTTCTCTTAAATGTAGCTAATTTCTAGGATTTATAGTCAATATGATAGCGGTTTATTGGCTGTTTCTATTTATGTTCAATTACTTTAATTAAATATATTAAACATGGAATATCAACAATTTTAACAATTTTATTTTGGTAAAATATTTAGCAACTTGGGATGTCAGTTATTATGGGCATGTTAATAGCTATTTAAGTGTTTGAGTTACAAAAATTAGAGAGATTATGGAAGTAAGTAATTTTGGTTTATTTTTGTATAATATCTAGTATTTATAGTATATAAATTAATATATAGTAATTTATAAATTATTATTTTTTCCTTGGTTATACGTGAATTTTTCCCAAATTACTAAAATCGTACTTTTAAATTTATTAAGATAAAAATTTAAGTATTCTCGAATTTAGTCAAAATGACTCAAAACAAAATTTGGAAGTTCGCAATTCTACCTATCCTTTTATTCATAAAGATAATTATCTAAGAATTAGATCAATTCTACAAAACCATCAAAGTTGATGAGAGAATCTTAGTTCAAGGAAACTTTTTAAAAAAAGGAATAATAATAACAATGAAATAAGGCTTTTTATCGTTTATGGGTAAATAAGGCAGGAAGCAATAATAGAAGCTTAAACTAAACAAAAGAATTTCCTCAGGGGCAATTCCGTCCGATCAAATCTCAACAGCTCTTTCTGAATATAAATATATATAGCCGTTAATCATAATCCCCTATCCCAAATTCATTGGCCGTTTGTATCAATCAAGAAATCAATATTTCGCTCTCATTACACAGGGCACTCTCGGGTCGCACTCACAACCACCAATCGATCTGAATCCGCTTTGGCTCTCTCTTTCTAATATTAAATTCAATTTCTTGGTTATTATTCGCTTTAATTCTGATTTTGGTTGTTAAATCTAACGCTTTTTGCAGGCTTCGTTGTTCTTGTTTCAGTTTTTCTTTTTCGTTTTTATTTGCAGGGAATTCTATTTCTCGCTCTCTTTCTTTTTTAGTTTCATATATCTTTTGTTGTTTGTGTATTTATTTTTGTGCTAACGGTAATGAAAATTCGAAGTGTTAATACATCTGCATCTTCGAACAAGACTCAATCGCGAAGCCCGCTTCAGGAACCGTTCCTTCAAAGACGGAGTTCACGGGAGAATGTATGTGGTTGTTTTACTGTGTTCAATATTCTAGTATAGGCAGATATATATATCTATGTTAAGAAGATTATTGGAATTGGGAGAAAAATAAAGAAAGCTTAATTTGAAATTGGTCATGTTTTTCCAAGATCACACTTCCTTCAATTGCATTCAATGATTTTCGATTTAATCACACAAATTGGGTGGATTTTATTTGTTTTACAATGATGGGCTTTTTATATGATTGTTTTGAAATTGTCACCTTTATAAGGGGGAAGAGAATAATTATCTTAAAATCGAGTATATATTTTTCCAATTCTGATTCCAAGTACCACGCTATCTCATCTGCAATTATGCTTTTATTTTTTTCAATTTTATTCGACAAATTAGGTAGTTTTTATTTGCTTTACAATATGTGTTTTCAGTTTGATTTATAAACTTAGGGTCTTGAAGTAGTCTGATAAGTTTAAATTGAACTCCACATCTGAAATCACGTTTTTCGATTTTAGAATTTGTTTAATTTATGTTAATTTTAGACGAACATAACTGTGTATCTAAAACAATTGATGCTTTTGTTTTGTGCAGTTGGACCGGTTCATACCAAACAGATCAGCGATGAACTTCGACTACGCGCGTTACATGCTTGCAGAAGCAAGGACAGGTAAGGAAAATCCTGCAACGGTCTCTTCCCCATCCAGAGAGGCTTACAGGAAACAACTTGCTGAAGCCTTGAATATGAATAGGACGAGAATTCTTGCTTTCAAGAACAAACCGCCTACTCGCAAAGAGACAATTTCGACTGATTTTGCATTGGCTACTCATGAGGCCAAACCCTCAAAACCCCGTCGGCATATTCCCCAGGTTAATGTTGTTTTATATTGTTTCATGAAATTTTATACAAGTGGATGGGAGAGTTTTTTAACATGAATGTTTCCTAAAAATGATCATAATTCAATTCGTATATTTATGCAGACTTCCGAGAGGACTTTAGATGCTCCTGATATTGTGGATGATTACTATTTGAACCTATTAGATTGGGGCAGCAGCAACGTTCTCTCCATTGCTCTTGGAAATACCGTGTATATGTGGAATGCATCTAACGGTGCTACATCAGAACTTGTCACAATTGATGAAGAAAATGGTCCTGTTACCAGTGTCAAATGGGCTCCCGATGGACAGCACATTGCTGTTGGCCTGAACAACTCGGAAGTTCAGATATGGGATTCGACAGCCTCTAGACAGGTGCTTATCCTCTAATATTTTCTGATCATCGATAAAGGATTGGACTCAGACTCAAATCTAGCTGGGTACCTCTATCCACCTCTATCCAATTGATTTGGCATGGATAGAGATCTATTTTGTCCAATCCAGTTGACCCACTGTAAACCTACAATTTGTTTAAAATGTATTAGTATTGCATAAAATGCTTATTTTGATTTACTTCCAATGCAGCTGAGAACTTTGAGAGGTGTTCATGGGTCACGAGTTGGAGCTTTGGACTGGAACAATCACATTTTGACTACTGGAGGCATGGATGGTCAGATCATTAACAATGATGTTAGAGTGAGGGCACATATTGTTGTAACTTATAGAGGACATACTCAAGAAGTTTGTGGGCTTAAATGGTCAGCCTCCGGCTCGCAGTTAGCAAGTGGCGGAAATGATAATCTGCTCCACATATGGGACAGATCCATGGCTTCTTCTGATTCTCCAACACAGTGGCTGCACAGGCTCGAGGAACATACTGCCGCTGTCAAAGCTCTTACTTGGTGTCCTTTCCAGGGTAATTTACTCGCCTCTGGTGGGGGTGGAAGTGACCGGTGCATAAAATTCTGGAACACGCACTCTGGTGTGTGTTCGAACTCGGTTGACACTGGCTCACAGGTGTGTGCTCTATTGTGGAATAAAAATGAGCGCGAATTGCTTAGCTCTCATGGGTTTATAGAAAATCAGCTCACTCTCTGGAAATACCCCTCCATGGTGAAAATAGCTGAGCTCACTGGGCATACATCAAGAGTTCTTTGTATGGTTCAGGTACTGAATTGTATCTTATTCGAAGAGTGATGTAATGCTCCCATTTTTTAGCATCTTAAATCTGATCATTTTCTTGTGGTACTGAGTTTTATCTAATTCGAATGTAATGCCACCATTTTTTAACATCTTAAATCTGATCCTTTTCTTGTGGTCTTTGATTTAGAGTCCGGATGGATGCACAGTTGCATCAGCAGCAGGAGATGAAACTCTGAGGTTTTGGAATGTTTTTGGGACACCTGAAGTGGCAAAACCTGCACCCAAGACAAACTCAGAGCCATTTGGTCACTGGAACATTCGATGATTGACATGAGAGAGCAAAGCAGATTAAACTGCATGAAATTGTAAGATCGAAGAAAACAAAAATGATTAACAAGTCCATAGGTACAAATTATTGACAATACCCTTTAATGTATTCATTCCACTATATATTTTAAGCTAATTATTTTCTACAATTTCCATTTTCTGACAGGGGGTTTCTACTGACAACTACTCATGTTGGGTTCTGCAATACCACCCCCGCAATGCCTTTTTTTCTAATGCCTTTGTATTTTCTCATGTGAAGTTCAGTTACACTGCTCATTGTCTTTTAAGCTACACAAGTCCATAGGTACAAATTATTGACAATACCCTATACTATATTCGATGCAAGAGCTTTCTTTTTGACACACTTTTTTAGCCCGCTTTTTGAAGTATAGATAAGGGCGGCTAACATAAAAATCACATTTACATTTTCTTGGAAATTTAGAAACTATTACTTCTTGTAAATCACCTTCATTCTAGAGATTTGAGATTATCTATTTCAAGAATTTGCCTTTTGTAATAGCATAAGGCATATATCAGAGTTCAGTTGTCGTTTATTTCATTAGTTGATGTCACATATCCCTCTTGATCCTTGTGCTAGTTTATATGTTTTCTGGACATACTTTACGAATTTTGCATGGTTTATTAGCTAGTATGTAGTTTCTATGTGTTCTATAGCTGTATTGCATGCAGAGTGTTTTATTGTGTCTTCCATTAAATATAAATAATTGTTTTCCCAAATAGGTACAATTATGAGAATGACACAAGAATGGAGGCTTCTTCTTCTGATGATGTAAGCTCACCATTGGAATATCAACTTTATGGAAATGGTAAGAATGGAGGTGATGCTCTGTCCAGAGGTACTGAAAATAAACTTCTGGAAAGAAAGGTCTCCTTTCTCTGTTAAACAATCTTTTTATATCATGTTTTTCATTGTTCGTCCTTGCATGTCCTTTTGTCATTTGGCAGTGACTGCTCTTCTGGACTTTTAAGTGGTCCTGTAAGGAGCTTCCCCAGTGTTGGGGAGGTCAATAAAATTTATTGATCCTATCATTCAATAGATATTCATGTTTTACGCTAAATACCACATTTTTCTCGTCTTAAGGCAACTATTTTGGCTGGGTTACTTTTTTTGCTCTTTTTCTTTTTTATTTTTCATATTTTCTTTCCTATAGAAAGCATGTCCAAAAATTTTTGGCCACCGAAGATGCACAAAACAAAACTGCAGAAGCTTGAAACTTGAGTCAACTTTTTTTGAATCGTTGTTGCTGGAACGTCACAAAATATGAGCAGCCTCAGACAGCTGGAGTTAATATTCACTCTGTGGTATGCTATCTTAGGGGTACCTCTCCGTTATCATAATTACTACGATGTTTTGTAGCTACAACTCTTGTAAATTCTAGAGCAAATTTGATATTTGCAAAGACCATGTGACGTAAAATATTCAGAGGTGCTAACTTGTGGTAGTATGCGCAATTAAATTAAAACTTATCCTACTCATGTACTAAGTTATGAGATAGAATTTTTTTGCATAATAAAAGTGATGAGGACATCTTTTATTTTGTAGTTGGACTTACTATTTTACTTATGTGTTTAGTTGGGCTTGTACGTTGGGGTTGGCCCAAGCTCTTTTTCTTTATGTTTATTGCTTTGCTATTTATACTTGGTTTGTTGTTTAATTTGGACACAATGAAGATGCTGAATTGAATGAAAATAAGCTTCGCTTCTCCTGCCTTCGCCTCTTGTTCTCTTCTTCTCCGGTCTTCTCCCCCCCATTCTCTCCCTTCCTCTCCACCTTTCTTGCTGCCTATTTCTTCCTGTGACTGTGATTATTTCTTGATCTATATATTGATCCTACATCAACTTGGTATCAGAGCTAAATCTGGCTTCCTTCACCCACTATTGAAAACCCAATCAATTTACTCTCCCGCCAACAACGCTGCCACCATCTAGAAATAGGCCCAATCCATACATACAACCAGTATATCCATCACCTGCTACTGCAACTCCCTTTTCTGGTTAACCAGTGCTGCCAGAGAAACCACCACGTCCTTTCACTATCGCCCGAAATTCACTCAACACCCAAACTTCCTCCACCACTACAACCCCCACCAAATAATTCCAACAAACACGACCACCATATCCAATCGCAAAATCGCCACCAGTCTCTTACAAATCGACCTATGTCCAACTTCATGTTACAGCAATTGCTACTGTACCCAGCCCCAAACAAATCGACCGCCGACAAGAACTGCATACCCACGACTGATGACACCATAACGGCCAGTACCTTCTCCCAAATCACGAACACCACTCAGTAGATTCTACAACCAACTCCATAAAATCAAAAGAAATCCACAAAACCCACCCACCTTGTTCAGTCACCACCTTTCCACCTCCCCGAGCTCTGGCGACCCAAAATCGACCCACCATTCTCCCAGATTTCGAGCCACTACGACGCCAACCAGTACAAACACCAGTTGTTCTCTCTCGTCGACAGCCAGGGTCTACCAATTGCCGCTGCTGCCTATTTCTACAGATAAGGCTGTAAATATTGGGGTCATTTCACGTGTGAAAAGAATCGGGAGTTAATCAAAAGTTTTGTTTGGGCTTTAGTATGTTGTTGTCTTTAGTTTTGTTTTGGGCCACTGTTTCTATCCTTGTTTTGGCCTGTTTAGTTTGCAGCTTAATTAAAAAAAAAAAAGAAAAGCGGAAAAAAATTATATTTTCTAACATTGTTTTGCCAGGTACATCTTCTTGTCTTGTTGATCGATCCAGTTACCTCAGCAATCAAAGAGGGGAGTTACTGTTTTTCTTTATCTTTAGTTTATATTACTGTTTCGTTTTAAAATTGCATCAATATTTTTGTGTGCTGCTGTTATCCCAGTTTTTATCTAAACTCACGTAATTGGACCCATTACCTTCGTTAAATTCCACTCTTACCTCACTTATTTTACGTGATTAGGTCCTGACTCGTATTTGGCCCTTGCTTTGCTATTTTACATAAACCAACAGTATTAGCTTGCCATATTTAGATTTATTTAATCCCAAAATTTATTTAAAAAAAAAAGGAAAGATAAAATGCTCAAATTGTTTTTTTCCATTGCTTGCACTTTTGTTTATTGATCTCTCTATCTCATTTAGTTGCTATTACAGTGCATATAGTTGCATAGTGGTCGTCCTATCACTTCTAGTTACCTTAATCATGAACCCCTCACAATTTGATGCACTTACTCGACAAATAGCTGTTATCCTGCTACTCTTGAAAAGAGTAAGGCTCTATCCGCTAATTTGAACAACTTTAAACAAATCCCTAGTTCAACCGATGTCCATAAATCTAAAGTGTCCCATAATCATCATCAACATGGTGATAAAAAATGCTTTATGGACGAGATAATTTTAAATTTCTACTCAATGGAATGCCCTTAAACAAGGAAATCAACTAGTGACGGAGTATATCAGACAATTTGAGGAATTTTGAACCAAATGTCATTTCATTGAGGATAAGACCATAACTTTGAGTAGATTTAGCCAAGGTCTAAGAGATGATCTTAGGCGTAAGCTTTTCCTTTGAGGTATCACTACTCTTAAATCAAGCTTACTCTTTAGCTCGAAATTATGAGTTGATTATTAGTACTCCATATGAAAAGCATGGTCATCGTCGTTCACCCATCCATCCCATTAGCTCCACCTCACCATAAGCCTATCATAAAGTCTTCCCCATCCAATGTTCCTCCCATTTGGAAAAATAATTGTAAAGATCATGATAATCTAAAGCCTTCTTCTCCATATAGAAGGCGTATTGACAATTCCTTCTGTTTCATTGGCTCTAGTTCCTCCCATTAAGTCCCTTTTAGAACCTCCTTCGTCTAATATTCTTCCAATCTTTGAAAATAAGGGTAAAATTTTTGAAACTCAAAGGACTTCTTCTTATTTGCTGTGCATCAGCTGTGAGGTCTTTGGCCACATTTCTTCCAAATGTCCTAATCAAACCTTAGTCATGGAAGAACGAAAGAATGCAATAGATGAGCCGTTAGAAGATATAGGAACATAAACTTGAAGATTTTGATGACTTGGATGAGTGAGGACACTTCCTTAGTTGGAATCCCAACCCTTCCCAAGACTTTAGAAATTATATACCCCTTGTTTCCGACAACTATCGATCACATGTTATATGTCATACCCTTACCAAAACTCAAAGAGTTTGAGGATTTCACTAGTCACCTTTGGAGAATTTAGTCGCCTATGGTTAGCACTAAATCGAAATTCTCCATTACTGACCAACCTCAAACTGATGGTCAAAATGAAATTGCTAACCGAAGTCCTAGCAATTTATTACAGTCTCTACTCTAGAAAAATCTTGGGAATTTGGACTTGATCGAACAATTACATATAACAATCCTGAGAACTGGTCTTTAGGTCTAAATCCCTTTGAAGTTATTCCTGGTTGTGAACCTAGGAAACCTTTAGACCTTATTCCTATGTACCCACATGCTAGTGTGTTTATGTCAGTTGAGGTAGTTGTATCACATTTTCATAACTTGCATATTGAGATCAATAAACAATTAGAAGCAAGTAACGCATTATATAAACCTCGAGCTAATTGGCATAAACAACATTTTGAATTTGATATTGGGGATTATGTTATATTGCAAGCTCATAATGCTGGTCCTTTTAAAATTTCAAAGCAACGTCTAAATGCATATGTCAATGACCTTTTATCAATTATGACCATCACCCCATTTTATTTGTTACGGATTTCGATACTTACAAAGGCTATTTTTTAACCCCTCTGATGATCCGTTTCTACCTCTACATGAGAATTCCCACACTAAATCTTTTGCTATGTCTACTTCAATCCCACCTATTATGGCACACAAAAATAAAATTGATGTTATTTTAGATTATCAGATTGTGTTGACCAATGATAGAGAGATTTAGTGCTTTCTTGTTCATTGGATGGATCTACTTGATTCTGACGGTACATGGATTCCCAAAGGGAGACTTCAGCGGCGTGAGCTAAATTCATTGGAGCTTTATTATTTAGCAAAATCCTCATTCGCCTAGGTTATCTTGTTCAGCTCATATTTTTGCGAGTAATTTGCAATTGGCGTTGTCATCATTTGTGGAATTTCGATATTTGGTTCGTCAGAAAGATCGTCCCCATGGTTTGACTTGAGGTATTTTGGGTATCAGATCAACTGCAGGCTTCTGTGTTTTGTTCACTCGACAGGGTCAGTTTTCCTCCCACCCCGGGAGAGTTGATGAGGACATCTTAGGTTTTTTATGTTTAGTTGGACTTACTATTTTACTTATGTTTAGTTGGGCTTGTATGTATGTTGGGGTTGGCCCAAGCCTTTTTTCTTTAGGTTTATTGCTTTGCTATTTGTACTTGGTTTGTTGTTTAATTTGGACACGATGAAGGTGATGAATTGAATGAAAATAAGCTTCGCTTCTCCTGCCTTCCCCTCTTGTTCTCTTGCTGCCTATTTCTTCCTGTGACTGTGGTTATTTCTTGATCAATATAAAGAAGGTTAGTAATCTTTATTGAGTCACCATATGCGTTCCTTTCGGATCAAAGCAGCGTTTAATAAGTCGAAATACCTTTATTTAAGTGTGATTGTAATGTGCCATGTTGAGAGGGGGAGGGAGGGGGGGAGGTGGATGAAGAGATAAGATAATAGATAAATATAAGTTGTCACAGCTCTCCACCAGTATTGTAGATTGTAACCTGATAAGGAGGAAAAAGTTTCTGCTTTCTATTATTTGCTAATTATTTACATGTTCATGTAGTCTTTTTATCATGAGTCTCATTTTAATCCTTCAATTTTCTAGTTAGCTGAATACTAACTAGAATATTTGTAAGTTCGAACTTTTTAGACGTCAAGCACCCTTTTTAGCAGTTCTCTTCTCTTTCTTTTGTAACGAGGTTTGGGCCAATGAAAGAGAAGCTGCTGGTTTAAGGGCTAGCTTGAATATATATGTCCGAAATACAACGCTTAAATCAATTATCTGCTGAGAGGAAAGGACGATGAAAATTTCTAGTTTGTGAATTGAGGCAATGAAGATATTAGTGCATCAAGGCATGAGTATTCACTTATAGAATTTGACTGAAAGGCATTTCTAGCATGCATAATGTTAATGACTGGAAAAAAAAAAATAGAGGAATTTTACCATGCATACATGACAATATTTTCTTGAATAGATAAGAGATGTTACACCCAAAATTATGGAAATGAGGAAACACATATTTTTGCCAAATTGAAGAACTGTAACAATATCAAAACTAATGTTAATCGGCAAAGATGACTAAGAATTTCATAAACGGTCAAGGCAGTTGGTTTTGTGAACTGAAGCTGACTTATTCTATTGATTCACCATTTTACAGCATTGGCCCCACTAAGTAATATACAGGGTGCAAAACGTTATGTTTATACAGATATAATAGGTTTATATCATGAAATGTATGCTGAATTACTCAATAAAATTGTCAAGGTAAGTTTGATTATTTCAGTCCAGTCATTTCAGCAAAGGACAGCTTACATTTTTAGTTGATAGGTTTCTAATGGTGATTTGTTGGTTCTTAAAACTTTATGTAACAAAGTGTTATTTGTCGACAACATATATTGTTTTTACCATATCATAATTTTACAAGTTTTTTCTTTGAGTTAATGAGTGCATGTAAAATAAGATTCTTTTTGGATTGTTCGAGTTCATCTATATTAAATTTCTACATCCGTTAACGATGCCATTAACTATTGTAATTAATTTATCATTTGTCAATGAGACATTTGCAAACATTTAGTGCTCGACTGTTCTCGGAGCTTTGACTGCAACAATAAGAGAACTAAAGAATCTGACAATGTTCGCCCGTTGTGACTTTGATTGCTTTTAATGAGCCAACAACTGTAATATAGTTGTCGTTGTCTAGGTGTCAAAATAAATATTAGTTTATACTTTTTTGTAGGTCAGCAGTGTATATCTATAGCACTTTTCTTCATGTGGATTAGAAAAAAGGCTTTGATTTTCAGTAACTCATATATCAGTGTCTGTTTGTGAGCCTAAAATCAAATTTTCTAATTAGTTTGCAGATAAAGTTTGGAAAAAGAAAGTAAAATATTCTTCTTCTATGAATCAGTCATTATTTAACAACAGTTCTGTTTTATTTTTCTCAATATTGGAGGTTGCCGCAGCATTCTGGAGTCAGCAGCCGTTAGCTTCCAGGAAGTATGCATCAAGCACCATAATTCCAGCTTGCAATGTTGTTGTGGACTTATCAAACAATGCAAAAGATCTCATTGACAATGAAGTTTCTGCTTTCTATCAAACTCCTGCTAATAGCATGTACATGTATAAAATATTGTAAAAAAAAAAAAAATTCCCACCCTTCCTGTGTGTATTCGGTAGCAGCTCTTAATAATATTATAATATGTGCTATGGGAAAATGTGCTTTACTACTTTGACCATAGATTGAGTCTTATTTTGATTATTGTCAAGGATTGTGTTAATGTCATATTTTAAATCCCTGTACCTATAGCAGCTCTTAATAATATTATAATATGTGCTATGGGAGAATGTGCTCTACTACTTTGACCATAGATTAAGTCTTATTTTGATTATTTTCAAGGATTGTGTTAATGTCATATTATTTATAGGCATTTCTTGTATATTTCACTTGAACCTCGTCCTTCTCCTAGCTATTTC